GAGAGCATCTGCTGACAATCGCCAGATCCTCCTGCTTTTGAGGGTGTTTCTGGCCTGAAGCGTGGTTGCATTTCTTTTCCTACAATTACATCTGCTTCCTGTGGAAGCTCCACCACGTCAAGGGTGGTCATGGCTGTTAGGTGTGACTGAATGTGCATGGCACATGAAAGGAGGTGGTGCATGATTAACCTAGTAGGAACAATTTGGCCTGGATCTGTTGTGACAACTGATCCCATCTTGAACTGCCAAGAAATTGGCCCTCAAGTTACTTGGTACATCTTTTTTCTTGTCAATAAACACTGTCAGGACATGGGTTTACCTTTTGAGGACTGCATGTACTTTGTGACAGCTCTCTCACAGCCAAGGGTGCTGTGAACCCCTGAGTCCTCACACCCACGTCAGTTGTTTGACGGCTGGCTAAGGTGATGTAAGGCTGAAGGAGATTTTCGTCTTTTCTCACAGGTCTTTGATGAAACGGGCCCTGTCTGGAGGGTTATGTCAGCCCCTGGAGGGCCACATTTCTGAAAACAAGGTTTGGCCAAAAGCATTTGCTCTGAGGAGCTGCCTGGCCTCCAGCGCTGTCTGCCCTCCCTGGAAGTGCACTGGTGTGGGGATGGTGGTGGTTTGCTGCACCCACATTATGCTCAGCTTAGAGGTGATCCGTTACCTCACTGGATCCAGCCCCCAGAGCCATCCAGGCCACGTTCCAGTTTCCAATTCCCTCGATATGCGGTGGGGACCCTGGACCTTTGTGCACTATTAATAACGTGCTGTGCTGATGTGCCAGTGTCTCCAAATCACTCCTGTAACATCCCCAAGGACTTGAGCTGCAACAGAAAACTTCTGGGGGTCTGTCCCTGTTCTCTTCCCCATCTCAGTGGCACTACTCAGTCCGGCTAAACCAAAACAAAGCATAAAAATCCCTGCAGCCCAGATCTTCCAACTGTTGCAATACCAGGAAAAATTAATCTTCCCTGAGCCTTGCTAAACCTTTTCCAGAAAACTCTGTGGAGTGGAAACCTAGCACTGGCATCTCCGCTGCACAGGAACTACTCAGGTAACTTAGGGTTCCCAAAAGCTGTCTGGAAGGTATCAGTGCAGGGCCTCGGGTGCTTTCTGGTTTCTTTTAAGGAAATTTGCACCTGGGATCCAACTTTGATTTCTAATACTTGGAAAATTAAGTTGCCGAATCCAGATAGGTCAAAGTTTTTGCTCTCTGTTGAATTTTGCCTCACATGAATCACCTTTGGACTTCTTGATGGCTCACTGTACACCAGGACTGACTCCCTTCTCTGAGCATGACCAGCCCACAAGCTGTAGAGGCAAAGGGCTGGCATAGGGATACTGAGGGGACTGAATCCCTCCTTATGGAATGCTGGAAGCCAATGGTCACTTTGACCCACACACAAACAGTGAGAAAGGGTCAACCAGCCACCCTTTCCTGGAGCTTTCTCCCTCCGTTATCTGTCTGAGATGTGCCTTATGGCTTATGGGTATGCAGAGATGTTGCTCCAGTCACGTTAGAGTGGTTGTGTTGAAAACAGTTGTTGACAACTTCAGTTGCATCCCAGAGCTGGTTGTGTTGCCTTTCTGTCTGCTCCACTCCCTCCACAGCCTCTAGTTCTAAATCTAGAGGTCCTTTCCAACCTCAACTGTTCTGTGATTCTGTGGTTTTATGAAAGCTGCAGGGCAGAAATAGGGACTTCACCTCTGAGTCTGGACTCAGGGGACAGTCCCCTGCACATAAAAAGGGAGCTGCAACACAAAAGGAGTGTCAGACCCTTACTGCTACCCCAAGGTGCTGGTCAGCCCTGTGATGGCTACAGGAAGCTGGGAGAGCTGGAGGAGGTCCCACTCCAGCGTGCAGAGTCAGCCAGCACTGAGGAGAGGGACAAGGCAGGGAAGAGGTGACTGTGTCCCTTCCCTCAAGGCTCTGCAAGCAGAGAACAAGAGCTGTGAAGAAAACAGACTGTGTGGTAGGAAAAACCGCTGGTGTGTTGTGTGTGTGTGCACGTGCGAGTGCTACAGGCACATCCCTGCTCCTGAGTCCTGGGGGAAGTTTGGCAGTGGAGGAGTGTACTCCAGGACCCTCTTCTAGTACAGGGCTGAGACTCTCTGCAAAAACCACCTCGTGTGTGGAGACAGGTGTGCACTCACTTCCTAGAAATGGGTCTGACTTTGATGTGTTGGGAAGTTTTGCTTCTCTCGGCCCCAGAAGTGGCTGCGTGTTAGTGATGCTCTGCACGGGGAGGCTTTGGATAGCCCTGTGGGATGTGACACAACGATGCAGAGGAGATACCTACCAGGTCCTGCTGAGGCACTCAAGTTCTTGATCATTTCAAGGAGTTTAGGTTTCTGGAGGTGTTTCTGGACTCAGCCCTTAGGCTGTTTCTGTACTGCAAGAAGCAAAAGGGAGTAAATTAAGGGCCTGCCAGGTAGCCCTGGCAGTGATGAGGAGAGCATGACACATGGGAAGTATGTGTGAGGCTTGCCTTTTCCCCTTCTGCAGAGCTCCTTGGATGTGTTCTTTAAATTAGTGGGAGCCCTCCCATTCATGAATAAGAACTCCCTTTTTGGGACCCCTCCCTCACACACCCTCTACCTTCTAGATTTTCCCTAGCCAAATGAGGGGAAAAAAGAAACCCATCTCTGGTTACAAACCCACCAGTAAAAGGAGGCAAGGTTACTCTGAGCTGCCATCAGAGCTGGCCTGGATGCAGCTCCTTTCTGCTACCCAGCCCGGTTTCATCCCTAGGACTGGGGCCTTTGCTGGGTGCAGATGGGAGCAGTCCTAGAGAGCAGGAGCATGGTTAGATGGGCTTCTCAGCCACACAGCCTTTTCCACCCCCCACATGCCATGGCACCAGGTTGTACACCAGCCCCACATGCCTTGATCTGCCGGGAGCTGGTGCCTCTGGTGCAGGTGGCCTCCATTAAGTCATTGCTGAGATTAGGGCTGTTTTCAGTAGGTTCTTTTGAGTGGAGGTTTGTTTGTGTAAATATTTGGACGTTTCTCAGGCATGATTATTGAGCAACCTGCACCTCATGCATATTCAGAGGCCTCCAGCGATTGCCTCCTCTCCTGCCTGTCGGAGCAGGGCTGGGTCCATGGATGTGGGAGGGCCATGAGTGCTGGTGATGCTGGTGGGGGGAGATGCTGGGGAGATCCCATGCAACTGGGCCCTGACCTTGAGCTGGGAGCACTGGTGATACGTCTGTGCTGCAGTGCCAGGACTGTTGTGGTGGTCTGATTCGTGCCACCTTAGCGGTGCTGGCAGGCACGGTGGGCTGCTGAGCACACCTCGCCGGGGCTGCCTGACCCTTCCTGGGCTCCCCAGCAGCAGTGACAGCGCCAGCCCAGGCAGCTCCTGCTTCTAAATCAGGCAGCGGGAGGAGGTGGGATGGCTAAGCACAGAGCTTGGGCAGCCTCATGGCTCCTGGCTGCTCTCAGGGAAAGTTAAGAGCCATTTAAAGCAGATGCAGAGGCTCCAGGGCAGCTTGCTTCCAGTTTTGCTTTGCATCCTGCATGCCCTGTCACCTGGGATCCTCCTATCCCACATGCTCAGCAAACCTGTCACAGCTGGTCCCCTCCCATTCAGCCCCCACAGACCTGCCTTATTTTTTTCCTACTCTACAACTCCCTCACTCCATCCCTGCCATTTCCCTGCTTTTCCCAAGTTAACCAGGGTCTTTCAAGCAGTTCAGCATCATCCCGTGCTTGATCTCTATCACCTCATTGCACAAATGAACCTAATCGTCTGTCTGGCAGACGGCATGGGGACAGCCTCTCCAGGATCCCTGAGAGACACCGAAGTCTCTGAAAGCTCAAGTCCATGCTTTGCCCCTAAGGACCCCGGCAGCCTGTGGCACACCAGCCCTCCCCGCTGCATGCCGCCGCGCGTGTTGGCAGGCAGGGCATCCGCTGCCCTTCTGTGCTGTGCTGTTTGGGGACAGCATGAAGCTGAGGGCTTTTATTTTTTTTTTTTTTTGGAGACTGGCTACGACACAAAGTCAGGCCAAGCCTCTGGCCGTGTCCCCAGGAAGAGATGAAGGGTGGGATGAGCTGCAGGGTCAGGCCAGGAGCCCTCGCTGAGCCAGGATGCTGCAGGAGGGATTCAGCTGGAGCTGCGTTTATCCCAGGTGGCGTTCGGGGCACTAAAGGCAGGCTTGCTGGCTGCTCCTGTGCTGAGAGAGATTTCTTACTGTCTGCTACAGGCAGTAATTGCTGCCTGTTCCTTGAGGAGGATGAGGGAGACCCTGCTTCCCAAACCACCCCAGTCATGCAGCAGGAGAACCTGAGATGGTTTTAGAGCTTGCATGACTTCTCCAGAAGTGATAGGTTGCAGGGTCTCTGCCTGAGGATGAATTCAAGGCATGCTGTCAGGTACTTCCTCCGTGGTGGTAAACATGTGCTGCTCTAATATGGGATGGGTATGATTCTCATTTCACTCGGAGAGGTGGGGCACCAGGCAGCACGGCACACCTCTGGAGAAGCACCGCGGAGCTGCTAGCAGTGGCAGTGCTGCGGAGCAGAGGACGGCTCTAACGTTCTCTAGGTTATGTTTGCATTTGCAGGGCTGCACAGCCGCCCTCTCAGACTGTGTGTACTCACTGGAGCAGTGTTATTGACCTCTGCCTGTGAACATGAATGCAGTAGTGCCCTTTACATCTCTGGGGGGGTGACCACTCCAACCTCATGCTGTCCTTAATATTATCTTTCAGTTTACAGATGACAAACTTAGGCACATTCCTGGGTCAGGAACATGACACAAGTTCCAGGCGTGGGTTCAGGTTTCTATACTTTTTTACCTCATGCTCTGCCAATTCCTCTGCTGACGAGCTCAAAAAGCCAAGACAGCACTTCTGCTCCCAGGAATGTGGGTAGAAACTTGAAGGAATGGTGTTAAACCAGCCCCTGGCCACAGGAGCCGGTGCTGGGTGGAAATGGTACTCTGCTCTTCTCCACTGATGCTTTTCCTTGTTTCTGTTCTCTGCAACAGGCATCATGTCCATTATGTTATTCCATATGATGGGGATCAGTCAGTGGTGGACTCCTCGGAGAATTACTTTGTGACTGACAATGTAACCAAGCAAGAGATTGATCTGATGCTGGGACTTTTGCTGGGCTTTTGTATAAGCTGGTTTCTGGTGTGGATGGATGGGGTTCTCCATTATGCAGTGCGAGCCTGGAGAACTAGCCGACGGTATGGTAAGTGCAGCCTCACGGGCTCCCTTCTCCTTCCTCAACCCCTTGCCCTATCCTGCGAGGCTGGTGTGGAGGCAGGAGGGCAACAGCCTTGCAGCATTTGGCCCATGTGGATTTGGCACCGGCCTGACCAGCCCTACCCTAGCCCTGGTTATACAATCAGGAACGTTTGCATGGAGGGAGCCAGCTGAGGAGCCTTGAGGGCTCTGCTTTGGAAAGTGTAAAGTATGTGTTGGTGCAAAGGGGTGTTTGATGGAAAGCAACATGTTTACCCGTAGGCAGGCTGGCAGATGGTGGTTGTATGTCTGCACATGTGGGCAGGATATTTTCAGGCCAGACAAAACTTCCCTGAAATCTGGATTTTTTTTAATTTTTTTTTTTTTTTTTTGTGCATATAATTTGCAGCCAGGCACATGCTTATGGAGTGCAGGTCTCTTGTTGGTTGTATAAACTTGTGACAATGTGATGACTATGACAGATGTTTCTATGTTGTGTCGGAGATGCAGCAGCTGAGGTTTCCCCATCCTCATTGCTGTTCCAGATGTGCCAAGATTTTTTCAGTATTGACATCAGCCCCACAGAGAAAAGTGTTAGCCATATGAGTTAGTCTTTGGGCCAGCTAGCTTTGCATCCTGAACTAGCATCCTGAGAGTGACCAAAAGACTTTCCTTCAGAGGGCCTCTCTGCCCCTCTTTGATCTCTCAGCACGGGTATCCCATGGACTTTAATTGTTGGAAGGGGAAAAAAGACAGAAAAGCTATTAAAATATTGAATGATTTGAAATTCCATAACACTGTACCTATAAATCTCAGTCTCTCTAACTCTGACTGATGGTGTCTGTTAAATTACAACTCAGAGGAAGAGGAGAAATGAGCAAGAGAAAGATTTATCTGTAAACCTGCAAGAAATTCTAATTAGGGAAGTGAACTATCTCTTTCTAAAAACTCAAATCAAGATATTAATTTCTTATTAGTCTTCCTAAATCCCCAGCAGCCTGCTTCAGCAGTTTCTGAATCAGGACTCTCTTGAGGCTCTGTTGCTGTCATTTCCCAAGCAGCAGGCTAATCGTCAGAGTTTCCAGTGAGATCGAAGGTAGGAGCCAGTCTGGAGGCTGTGACACCTGGTTTTGATGAGACCACCCGGGGCTGGGATCGCGTTGGTGCTCACGAAGGCAGCGGGGCTGGCAGGAGCCATCCTTGGGCGAGGTGCTAGGGAGAGTACAGCGATATGGTTCTACAGAGCTGCTGCCTTTCTTTATGGAGCCATGAGCTACAGACAGGTTATCTCCACCTAACCTGCCTTCCTCTGAAGGGATACTGCATAGATTTTTATTTGTAGTAATTAAGGCTAATGCTGGTAATTAATTTAGTATTTAAGCCGAACCATCTTTTTTCTTTTTCTTTTTAAAAATTTTTTCCTCCCTGTGTATGCATATTCTAAGGCTTTAAGAAGGGGCTGGCCAATGGTGTAATAGACCGTGCAGATACATTTTTCCTGAAAATGAACGCAGAATTACTTTGCACCCAGTTTTTCCTTCCCATTGCAAGCCCACTGGCAGTGCCCCTTTTGTGATGCAGACAGCTGACACCCTCTTTGGCCTGAGACATGGCCCCTTAGTGCTGTCTTCGCGGTGTTGCACCAGCGACACGGGTCCTGTCTGCTCTTAAACCAGGTTGGCTGTTCCATAGCTGTGTGCTTGCCCTGTTCCTGGATCTGTTAACAAGCACCCTGTGTCCCCACAATCAAATGTGTGGTAGAAGAGACCTTGGAAGCCTCCTTGTCTAATCCAGAGATGAGGTTTCCAGTGTATACTGTGCAATGGGACATGAGGTCTCTTTACTGGAAAGGTTTTGATGTGCACTGAACTGTTCCGTCCAAGGAGAAAACAGTGTGCTTGTGTGCTGTGCTGAGCACATTTCACTAAAGGCAGGCTGGAAAATCATTGGGGGATTTGGAGCAAAATAACGGATGTTGAGCTTCTAGGTATTCCCTGTTCATTTAAATCAACTATGCAAAACTAGTCATTTTAAAGACAGTAAGCAGAAAGGGTACCTATTTCTTTGTTGAACCAGAACCTAAGCTTAAATTTCCTTCTAAGAAAGAAATGGTGCCTATGACTGTGAGAGATAGGGGTAATACAAAACGCTATACTGGTACACAATGTAGAGCTCTCCCTGAAATACGTAAGCACCACTTAACAATGACTCAATGTCACACTGAGGCATGATCAGCTTAAATTTGGGTCTGCTAGAATACCCTATAGCTCCTTTCTCATGGAAGGGATTTCTTAAAATAGAAAATATTCTATAGACACTCAGACATCAGATTGAGATTCACAGTAGCTGCAGTGCTGGTCAGAGCAGTCACGTACCACCTCACACTAGCTGCAACAGTTAATCTGCCGTTCTCTGGGCCTTTCAAATTCTCCTTTGTGGGGTTGGGCAATGTGTATTCCTGGGTGGAATGGCCCAAAGCTCTCACGAAACTGACTGGCAGCTGGAAGATTGCTACAGGGAAAGGTTCATGGGCTGAGATACTGGATACAAAAAATGCCATTGTCCAGCCTGCACTGGCTGTGGGGCAGAAAGGGGCTTGTGCTGATGTTACGTGAAGTTGGCCAGGGTTTCAGAAGACAAGAAAGGAGCCGGGGTTGAACAGGGACTGTACGTGTGCGGCGGCAGTGTGCTGCTGTTTCCCTGGCAGCCCGGTCCCCAGAGCAGCTCCCTGCCAGCTACAGCGATTAGCAGAGATCAGCGTGAGGCTCCTGCTTTTGCTGAATCTTGCCCGTGCTGCTGGCCTGGCATTCAGAGGGCGAGTAAGGCACGAGGAGGTGGTCTGGAGCATGGCACTCATCACAAGGAGCTGGTTCCTACCAAGGGGGAGAAAGGTGGAGTTTACTGGAAGAGGAGTGGTCAGTGCTGGGGCTAAGGCTGGGGAACGTGTGGTCTGAAGGGGAGCCCCAGGGTAGCCTTGCCAAGGCTATTATTAGTGCCTGATTTCTGTGGGGCAGGCCAGGAACAGGGCTAGGCAAGGCAGGAGAACGTGGGTCTCACCATTCCTATAATATCTCATCTTCCTTCTCCTTTCTGCCTTCCAGACAATTCGTGGTCATGGATTCCAAAATTTTGTAACTTAAAGGAGTTCAGAAAACGTCATCACAGGCAGTATGAGGAGGCGACTGGGAACATGGTGCACATCAAACAGAAGCTGTACCATAACGGGCACCCTAGCCCGCGGCACCTCTGAGGAATGCCTTCCCCTCCAGAGACTGCAGTGAGGTTTTAAAAAAGACTTTGCTCTTCTTCCAGGGGAACAGCTACTAGTTTGCTCCTCTGTGGAAGCCAGCCGAGGACACAATTTTACTTATCCATCCTGTGTGTCCCTGTGGCACACCATGATGCACAACTAAGCCAGTCCTGGATGCTACGCAGCCAAGACATTGCACTGTGTTCCACATTTTATTGTCAGACTTGTGTATATATGTAAAAAGCAGACAAACAAAAACGAGAAAAGAGATTTGCATTATACTTTCAACAACACACCCACCCCCCCACCCCCCCCCTTTTTCCTGGCATTCACGGCTGTCCTGCACATCCAGCTACCCTACAGGGAGTGTTGGCCAAGGGTATGGAGGTGGGACAACATGAAGAAGATGCAGTTTTTCATCCAGGAGCTCGAGTCCCTTGTTTCTTTGGTCCCTTGGCTTGGTTTTGCTCTGCTCTGTTCCTTCCGCTGCTAGAATGGTTTGGCTGGTCACAGGTTTGGCTGGGGACTGCTGCCAGCTGGTTGTGAAGGCACAGTGCCCCTTTTGCTTTGGTTCATGTTTTTGGGAGTTGCTGTGGGGGAAGGAAGTCCTGGGAATATGTAACTGATTTGTTGTTTGCATTGCTATACACTGAAACCTGCCTTAAGCAATCCAAGAAATCTTAGTACCAGGGGAACAGTACCATAAGGTATCAGTCCATTTAACAGGTCTGGTGCTGCCTGGTTTACACCACTTTTATACTGGTGGTACCTTGCTGATGTCAGTGCTGTTATTCTTCCCTAATGCTAGAGAGGAGTTGCTCCTGATACGTGGGGAGAAGTGTATCGAGTTGAATGGTGTTAGATCTGACTTGCACCCTGATCATACCCCTCTGCTGCATAAACACCACCCACCCCTTGCCTGGGAGGAAGGGAGCTGCTCTCCCCCTTCTCAGAGGGCGAGCCTGAGGCCCTGATTAATACCCCCTGAGAAACACTGACAACGCAGTGAGAGGGTCCTGTTAACAGTCTCACTCTTCCTGCCCATGAACAGCCACCTCTCTTCTTCTGTTACTGCTCCGAGCTGAAATAGCACTTCAGCAGCAGCCTGGGCTTGGCTTGAGGACCACAGAGAGATGTGGGCCTGAAGCCAAACTCATCTACAGAGTCCAATGTCCCAATAATGGGTTGAATCAAAGTATGAGGATGCCCTAACATGGTTTTGCCTTTGCTTCCCCTGGTCACAGCTTAGGTGTGGGTTTCAGGGTAGCTACCAAGTGTCTGAAACCAACCTCCACACCCAGACACCACCTCCACTTCCAGGCAGAGTTGCCTGAAGGAGTTGATAAAGCCCGTGGTGCACCTGGACAGTGCAGTGGGATCCTGTTCCTCTGGCAGTCATTTTCTGCTGGGGGAGAGAAGCAAATGTGCACAGACTGCCTTGCTTTTGCACATGCTGGGCAGCAGTCAGCAGTGGCCCAAGAGAGACTTCTACTGAGAGGAGTAAGGGAGGGAGATGCTAGCCCCAAGGATTCAAGGTGGTAGCCCTGAAACTCAATCATTTCTCCTTCATTCATCATTTTGTACTGAGTGGGCTTGTGCTTAAATGAGGAAAACATCCAGAACAAAAGGATGATGAATATTATCAGAAACTGCTATTTTCTTCTATGACTTACTTGATTCTGTCAATGGCCTCCAATTGTTTGATCACAATGTCTGTGAAGGGAAAAGGACATCATGATTCCCTGCTCTTCTCCTTCCCCATTCAGCTTTTGTGTCTTAGTTTGTTTTTTTTTTTTCATTGTTTCCTATGCCCAGGATCAGTTCAGTTATTGACAAACCCCAAAGCTGCCCAGAAGCCAAACCTACCCGTTTCTCTGCCATTCCTACCTTTGCTCTTCCCTAGTGCCTCTTGTCTTGGAGCCCCAGTTTCTGCCTGGGCCTAAATACTTGCCCGGTCTATACTTATGTCTGTCTGCTTGACTGTCTGTCATTCAGGACTTCCTATGGTTGTAATGTCTGCAGCCACCTGTTAGTATCTAAAGAAAGACTTTTCCTTAAGCAGCTCCTTTCCAAGCCACATGGCTTTGCAGCCTCCCTCCCTGTATGAGCTTTGGGTGTTTGACTGTGTGGACTCATCCTCAGGCTGCTCACTTCAGAGGAGTCTTACTCTGAGAGCGCCCGATGAGCTCTGGCCAAGCCACAGTTGGGGTTGCCCTTGGGTGACAGCACACCCTTAACTGGCAGCAAGGAATAGGTACCGTGGTGTAAAACAGGTACATGTCATGGACATGTCTTCAGCTGGGACAACATTTTGCAGGGGAGAAAATTCCATCATGATAAGGACAAAGACTGAGTTGCTGGAACTAGTTATGGGAAAAAAAGCACTTTAAATAATCTTTCCACTTGGAACCTGTCACAAGAGAGACTAAAGGCAGTGACCTAAACTCAGACTGAATTGAAAGTCTGGTTCTGCCCTGCTCTAGCAACTGACCTTAGTTGAAATATCATTAAATATGAACCTTACAGCTGCAAAGAGGGAAGTGATGGCTCACATTGATTAAGTCTGATTCACACCAGAATTTCAGAAAAATCTGAGGCTCTGGAAGAGCAAAAAAAAAATTCCTACTTGGTACATAGCCCCATTGTTTAAGAACAGACTTTTCTTTAATCTGCTGTGTCTGCAGCTATTACCTTGTGAGCCTAGCTCTTGTTAACACTTAGTCAAAAATTAAGACAAAATGCATTCTCAGTGCAATTAAATTTATGAGGAATAACTCACTGGTCTTAAATCCAAGGAAACCAGGAATACCCTCATAGAGCAATGTTTGTCCCAGCACACGCTAAACCAGTGGGATTAATCCTGGGGAACTGACTAGGCCTTTATTAAGGATGAGAATTAACTAAGGGGCAAAGTTCCTTCCCATGCAGTAAGGCCAGGTCCTATTCCTGACCCATGAGATCTGGTGCATCCTCTGTGCAGGGGTGATTTCAACGACTGTTTTTCCCAACAGCCAAATGTCTGCCACATCTCCTCTTTGGGGGAATGAGATTACAAGCCCCCACAGAGAAGCAGAAGGTCAAAGAGGCAGCTGGGTGTTGAGTATGGCAGAACCCCAGTACCAGCGATGTCTTGCCCCACGCAGCACATGCTCTCTCTGCTTGACAGCGACACTCCTGTCCCTGTCCCGTCCCCTCAGCTGGCTCTGCTCGAGGTGTGAGCCTTACCAACAATGTCTGACTTCGTGGTCTCTTGTTCCTCTGTCCAAGTGAGGTTGCTCCTGTTGCTCGCAGCTCAGTTGTCTGTAAAGTCTGCTGTTGCACTGTCTTCTTCTCCTGTGCATGTGTTCGTTTTGCTTTTGTCTAGTTGTGAGGGTGTTTTCTCCTTGTTTAATTGTCTGAGATGTACTAGTGTTGACTTGTCTGTTGTTCTCTTGCCTCTGATCCAGTCTTCACACACAAAACAAAACAAAACAAAACAAAACAGAAAAACAACAGATCCAAACAACAACACCACAACCCAAACCCAGCAACAACCCCAAACAAAGAGGGTTCAGTTAGGAGAAAGTGACTTTGGCATCAGGGATTTGACACAACAAGGTCAGGGCTAGGCAGGATGCTGGTCAGAACCTGGGGAAGAGAAAACATGGGGTTGCAAAGCTTACAGCTGGCAGCTGTGTCTGTAATGGCAGCTCTGTAGGGACAAAGGAGGGGGAAGTGTGCACCATGTCTTAGCACTCATCCACCAGATGCTTTGAGGGAGGCTTCTGCAGAATTAGATAGTGGGGGGAATTTTGTGCTGCCTCAGGAGGGGCTATTTTTAGAGCAGACACAGAGCTTAAAACTGTATGTGCCAATTCTTCAGAGCTGGGATTAGCACTGGAAACACTCTCCTGCAGTTTTGGTGCGAGGAGCCTAGGTTTGGCTGCCTGCACACTGAATGGGTATGTGCTGGTGGTTGGGACCCGCTGCAAAGGAGAGGTGTGGAAAGACAGCTGGAGAAAAGCAGAGGCTGATGGAATCCATTGTATCAACCAGTAGCTCCTTCTTAAATTCAAGCTGCCGCTTACCAGCACTGCTGAATAAACCCCTTGCCAGGCAGCGAGATCCCTGAGGCAGCGTAAAGCTAAACCCATTCTCTGCCAACCCTCTTTCCACTTTCTTTCTTCTCCAGAGAGCCACACACTAAACAGCAGGCCTGTCAGATTGGTTGTCTCCTCCAAGTTGTGTCCTAGCTGACATCTGTCCTTCCACCACAGTCAGTGGCTTACAACAGGATGGGTGTGTGGAAGGAAGGGATGAGAAAAGGCCCAATGCACCACAGGTGGAAGTGGTGCTGTGCCAGGGAGGAGCTAGCAGAGCTGCACATCGCTTCGCTTCAGGAATGAGAGGAAAGGAAGAGCCCAAAGCCACCACACACAGGACTTCAGGTGTAGCCCAGAGTAGACGCAGATACTACGCATGCCTTCTTGGGCCTGCTGCTCTGACACAACGAGAAGGATCCTTCTCCTTTGAGGACCAGGTTGGGAAGGTGTCTGCTGTGATTCCATCCATCCATCCCACCTTCCATCCTTCTTTCCTTCCTTCCTTCCTTCCATCCATCCATCCATCCATCCATCCATCCATCCATCCATCCATCCATCCATCCATCCATCCATCCATCCATCCATCCATCCATCCATCCATCCATCCATCCATCCATCCATCCATCCATCCATCCATCCACCGTGCCCTCTCACTGCTCAGCTGGCCCTTGAGCCAGCCAGGGACACATCAACTGGCCCATCCTGGCTGAGGTATCTGGCAGCACCAATCAATAAACAGTAAAAACCCAGAAGAGAGCCCAGAACGCATGTCCCAGACATTCGCAGCACGGTGGGGTGGTTTTAGTTACTCTCATGCTACTCTCTACCTCATTTTCCAGTTGTACTCAGCTGTGAGAAGAGAATCCCTGATAAAAAGGGATACTAAAAAGAGCCACTAAAATGATTAAGGAACTATGAGGAAAGGTTGAGAGCTCTGGAACTATTCAGTCTAGAGAAGAGAAAGTTCAGGGGGAATCAATGTATATAAATACCTGAAAGAAAGGTGCAAAGAAGATGGAGCCAGGCTCTTTTCAGTGATGTCCAGTGACAGGACCAGAGGCAATGAGCACACACTAAAACATGGGAGGTTTTGCTTGAACATCAGGAAACACTTTTTTACTGTGAGGGTGATCGAGAACTTGGACAGGTTGTCAGAATTGTGGAGTCTCCATCCTTGGAGATAGTTAGAAGCCAGCTGGATGTGGTTCTGTGCAGCCTGTTCTAGGTGGCCGTGCTTGAGCAAAGGGGTTGGACCTGGTGACCTCCAGAGGTCCTTCCCAATCTCAACCATTCTGTGAAAAACAAAATGCCGTGCAAATGGTGTCAAGTGAGCTGAAGCCCACTGGCTTTGCAAGAGACCAAGAGTTGCTACTTCAAGACCGCAGTGGGCAGCGCAGCCCAACCATCAGTAGCCTTTGCTTACCTTGGGTAAGGTCCAGGTGAGCCCAGGCAGGAGAAAGCCCCAGGGGAACCAGTGTGAGAAGTCCTGCTCCAAGGGCACTCCCCAGCTCAGGAGAAAGCACGCTGTAAAAGAAACATCTCACTTGTACTGGCTCCCCTGGGAAAGGAAGGGCAATATTCACCTTCCACATTCCCTGGTATGAAGGCTGGAGGCTTGCAGGCGCTAAACGACACAGGGAACCTCCATCTCATGTCAAATTCCACTTTGAGACAGCTTCACAGCAGCAGTGTAACACTCTGTGTGGCATTGATGAAGAGTGTCTGTGTGGGGGTGAGCATGGAGGTAACGAAGGCCCCTTCTGCATTCAGGTGGCTTTGAAGGTAGAAGTAGCCAACAGAAGCACCCAGAGCACCTCTGGATGTGAAAGAATAGAAGTACTTCTATTACTAGAGTACAAACAGAAAGACATCTGGAGCAAATGCAGGGGAAGCAGAGGAGTTGGGAAATACAGGCTGGTGTGAGGAGGAGCTCTGCAGCCTGGCCAGGTGCTCAGGATACTCTTCCAGTTGTATGCGTGTGCGTGCTGGTGTGCGTCTGTGTGGGTACAGCTGTGTGCCATCATGTGTTCACTGCATGGAGCCTATTCCTCTTCTTGAGTACCTCCCATTCATTTGCACACATTTCTTTTCCAGTGGGGTTGCTAGTTTTAGTCCCCTCTTCAAGCTGAGCCCTGGGATTTCCACGGAGGGGTGACACCAGGAGGATGGCTCAATCCTGCGAGGCGCTTAGCACCCTCAGCTCACAATGACTAAGGCAGTGGAAACCCTTGCAGGACAGAGCACAGACTTTAGGAAGATTTTTTTTCAACAATGCTCTGCAGTGAGAATACAAGAACAAAACTTGGAGTGCTGTTTTCCCTGATTGTTAATCCTTCTTTTCTTTTTTCTGCACTCACCCCAGTTTTGCATGCATCAGACAGGAAGAGGTACAACACACGTTGATACTAACAGAGAGAAAGAGATTATACTCTGTTCTGAGTCTAATCATAGAATAATCTCTACTGTGGTTGAAAAGCAATAATGGCTAATTTTTTTATTAAATACACTTGCACAGGCAAATGTCACCTACAGTTTGTGTTCTCCAGCGGCCGTGCTGGGAGCGGTGACAATGCTGTGCTGAAGCTAAGGGGAGCAGCTGAAGGCCGCAGAGAGCTTGGGGGTGGGGGAGGCAATAGAAAAAGCACACTGTGATTTTATTTGGGTCAACGAGTGAGTGTATTTCAGCCATTCCTTCCCTTTCAATACTATGTTTGTATAATAGATAACCAGTTCAGCTCCTGAAACTAAGCCCGTCCTTTGCTGTTTGTCAGTAAAATAGTTTTTTGCATGTTTTGCATCTGAGTGTTTTTTCCAACCTTTTGAACCAAATGATACTCCTGGGGTCAGAGGCAGGGGGCCTGCCAGGGGCAATGTCAGGTCACCAGCTTACAGGCAGGGGTTTAAGGGAGGGAGGTACAAATCCAGCTTGGACAGTGGGGGAAAAAGCTGCACCCAGCCTTGAGCCATGCAGGAGGGCTGTGCAATGTCCCCAAGGTTATCTGACATTATGGGACAGTGTCCCAGATTTTAGCCTGCTGGCCTCCCACTCCCTGGGAACCTCTCAGGTCCAAAACTGATTTAAAAAGATAAATATTCTACAGTTAAAACCAAATTCTGGGTGCAAGCTTCCTCCAGAGAGGAGTGTGAGCCTCTCTTGCCTACTGCCTGCAAGGGCAAGCACGAAAAGCGAGGTGCAGGAAACCCAGGGCTTTGGCAGGGGCAGGGAGAGCTGTGCTCATTTCCCATCCTAGCAGTACCAAAAGCTGGCGCCATGAACCAGTCTTTTAACATGCTGCATTCTGCTCTTTTTCTCTCCTGGAACAGGACCACACATACACAAACAGAGCAAGTCTGACACTGAGTGGGACTTCAGTCCTTATGCGCAAAGATGCTGATGCACGAGTTGTTCTACGAGTCTGGGCAAATCTGGGCACATCTTACTCAGGCTTGGTGGAGACACTACGTGACAGCAGAGCAGCAGTGAAAAAAAAAACCTCAACACCCAAGCAAAGAAACCCCCACAACAAGAATAAAACCCACAGCAGCAGGAGAGAGAGGAAAAAACCAACCAGGCAGCAAGGCAGAGAGAGCTGTTGTCATGGAACTGACTGACAGTTGCAGGCAATGGCATCTCAAATTATGTCTGGGGGTAAAAAATGGCCAGCAACAGAGAGCTGACCTGAGTTCTGTTGAGGTGAGAACAATTAGAGACAGGGCAAGAGCTGGAGAACTGCCTGGGGACTTCTCCGAGCTACCCATGCGCTGCTCCTCTTTGCCAGTCTTACAAAAATAATAATGTCATGTAGCCTGGTAATGCTGCTAGAGCTTCATTCCAGGAGATGCCGTATATCAGAATATATCACCAAGATTTGGTAAGGCTGTGCTACCTCAAGGAATCAGGGGAAAGAGGAGAAAAACCAGCTGGTAAGAAAACAATGTCCCAGGTCATTCAAAGCAAGATCTGACCCATACCTGTCCTTCACCAGGTACCCAACCTCTGCTGTCGGAACTTGGGAGGAAGAGATGATGAGTAAAGCAGCCTGGTGGCACTTACTGAGTATTTAGTTGATTGAAGTCCTTTGGTTCCTCTTTTACTGCAACTCAGATGGGCAAACTTTGCCTTATCCCAGTGCTCGAGTTGGTTGATGTCTGTGGGAGAGATGCTGGCTGAATGACAAGGTCCAGCAGTGTACCAGGAGTCTGAGAGCACTGGCTCAGGGATGCACACCATGCATAGCCTGGAAGTTGCAAGAGAAGCAGGATGGAGAGGTAACCATTGGAAAAAGGCTTTCCTATTGTCATTCTTGGCTTGTGAAATTCTTGTGGGACAGCTGACTCACACTTAGCCATTCAACTCCTAGCTCCTTGCTCCTCAAGGGATGCAGTTACACAGCTGTCCTGCCTCTCAAGACAGGGCAGGAC